CTCATTTCTGTTGCAGCAACCAGTGTACTCCCTAGTTCCTCATCCACCAGGGCCCATGTGCATGTTGAAACGGTGCACTCCAAAAGTGAATGCTGCCATGAATCCACTGTGCCGTAGAAGCTGTAGGTGCTTGAGTTTGTCATATGGCGGTGCGCTCTGACATCCTCCGTAGGTAGCAACTGTTTCGACAGTCTCCACAAGAACATACATACTTTTGCCGAGACCTCCGTCTTCCATAACAATTTCCATGACCCTTCCTCGGCTCGAGCTAATGAAGATCCAGCCGAACCCTCCAACCATGCTCCCCGTCGGTTCCTCGTCGTGATGAGCATGTTGTAGGCTGACCGAACTGTAAATTGGCCACTCCTGTCGTGAGCCCAGCTCTAGAAGTCCGACATGTTCATAGTGCATATTGGTATGTTTGATATCACACTGACGTCAAAAAGGCATGAAGGTGGCATCTAGCAGTTGTTTATTCCATGTGCAATTAGTGACGTCGATAAGATCGGAGACCCTCAGAGGCGGGTTAGCTGAGATACACCCGTATGGTCTCATCATTTCCTCGCGGGGTAACCGATTGTCCTCCCATATGTATGTACTCTCTCCATTTCCTATACGTTTGATCAAACCTTGTTTCAAGGTGTCCCGGCCCTCAATAATGGCCCTCCATATCTGACTAGGCTGACTCCCCAATGTTGCATGCAGGATCGAAGTATGGGGGTAGTAGATGCTCTTAAGCACACGGGCACTCAGAGACTCTGGGTCCTGTAGCAAGCGCTACGCTTGTCTTGCCAGCATCGCGAGGTTAAACAATTCAAAGTCTTTGAACCCCAGTCCTCCAATACTCTTAGGCTGCGTCATTGCTTTCCATGATACCCAATGAGGCTTTCGCTGCCCATTAGTGCTTCCCCACCAGAACTTTCCTAATCAACATGTTTAAGTGCTTGCAAAGTCCTCTTGGAAGCTTAAAACAAGACACTGAGAAGACAGGTACTGCTTGCGCAACTGCTTTGACTAACACTTCCTTCCCTGCCATTGATATTGTCCGCTCCATCCAGCCTTGAATTTTGCTCCACAACCTATCTTTGAGGTATTTGAAAGCACCATTTTTCGAGGTCCCGACATCTGACGGCATACCCAAATATTTCTCGTTTAGCGTTTCATTAAGGACATTTAGAAGTCCTTTAATCTCATTTCGGACACTTTCCGGAACCCCCTTGCTAAAAAATATTGATGATTTAGCGTAATTTACTCTCTGACTTGTTGCTTGACAGTAGGTTTCCAGCACTTGGTTCACCTCGGTAGCACCCACATCATTTGCCTTGAAGAACAGCAGGTTGTCATCAGCGAATAGAAGATGGTTAAGTGGTGGTGCCGTAGCTGCCACCTGCACCCCTCTCAAATTCGATGACTCCCCTCTTGATTTTAAAAGGCACGACAGGCCCTCTGCTGCTATCAAAAACAAATATGGAGATATCGGGTCACCTTGTCGGATCCCTCTTGACGGTTTGAACTCCTCAAGCTTCTTCCCATTAAACATGACTGAGAAGTTTACTGAAGTAACAAGACTCATAAAAAACTCAAACCAATTGCTTGTGAATCCCAGCTTGAGCATTATGGCACGTAGATAGTCCCATTCTACCCTGTCATATGCCTTCATCATGTCCAACTTCAGAGAACAAGACTGGTTTTTCTTTGCCTTATTCCTCTTCATGAAATGCAAGCATTCATAGGTAGTTATTATATTATTAGTGATTAACCTGCCTGGAATAAATGCTGATTGCTCATCAGAAATTATATCTGGAAGGATTTGCTTGAGCATGTTGGAAATAACCTTGGAAGCGATCTTGTACAACACGTTACAGAGGCTAATTAGGCGAAACTGTGATAGTAAGGTGGGGTTTTTTACCTTTGGTATGAGGACCAACACAGTATCATTAATGCATGTTGCCGATTCGGTTCCCTCAACAATCTTTAGCACTACTTTCGTCACATCATCCCCACAGACCTCTCAGTGCCGCTGAAAGAAATGTGCCGGGAACCCATCAGGGCCCGGTGCCTTGATGGGGAACATTTGGAACAGTGCTTGTTTGACCTCCTGTTGAGTATATGGTGCATTAGGGATCTCATTAATAGTTGGAGTGACCTTTGTTGGGACTGTATCAAGTACTCGGTCCATGTTTTGTACCCCTTCCGAAGTGTACAAGTTTTTGTAAAACTCAGTGGTCAACGCTTCCATCTCTGCCCTGTCCTCTTTGACCGTCAGCACGTTGAAGTGATTTTATATGTTTTTTCCGGCGCCGTCGGTTCGCCCTCAAATGGAAAAAATAAGTGTTTTATCCCCATGAGTTAACCAATCAAGACGTGCCCTCTGGCGCCACAACATTTCCTCACGATAGAATAGTTCAATCAATCTATCTACAACCTTTGTTTCCTCATGCGTCAGACCGGATCTTCCTTGGGCAGAGCGCAGCTACTCCAGGCGGGCCTTTAATTGGTTGATCTCTTTTTTAACCGAGCCAAAGTGGGTGCGATCCCAGGCCGACAGGTCCCCTGCAAGATTCCTGAGCTTCTCGTGCAGCGAGACCGCAGTTTCCGTTGGTTGCATGTTCCATTGGTGGCTGAAAGTGGTGAATAAAGAATCCTCCCTCTCCCACATCATTTCATATTTAAAAGGTCTGGGACCCACAGTGCATGCATGCAACTCACGTAACATGAGAAGGATTGGTGAATGATCTGATCCGGCTGCGTTTTAATGGGTTAGGGACGTAGATGATAAGGCCAAGAGCCACTCAGGGTTTACAAGACACCTATCCAGCCTCACCCTTGTATACGTGCCTCCTGCAACCTTTTTTTCGAACGTCCAATCCGTTCCAGTGTATCCAATATCTGTCAGGCCGCATGAGTCAACCACTTCTCTGAACGCTTCAACTTGAGCTTGACTCCGGGTTCTAACTCCGTCATGTTCATGGATATGTAAAACTTCATTAAAGTCACCTATTACCGACCATGGCCTATTCCGTATTTCAGCTATCCCCCGTAGGGTATTCCACGTATGATATCTTTCCGGTACTTGAGCTTCACCATACACAAAGGTCACCCTGACCTGCAAATCCGCCAAACCATCAACAAGAGTATCAATATGGTACTTCAAGTAACCAGTAATTTCAACTTTTATTTCATCATTCCAGAAAATTCCAAGACCACCACTTCGTCCAGAACTACTAACAACAAAACTTTAATTGTAACCTAAAGTGTCCGCTAAGTTTTCAACTCTTGATCCCTCTATTTGTGTTTCTACACTACATAGGATAGAGGGGGCAAATTGCCTCGCTAATTCGCGAAGCTCACGAACTGTTGTGGCTTTGCCAATTCCGCGGCAGTTCCAACTTAGCAGACTCATTGCGCTGGGCGCGACCCCACTGGGAGGCCCGCCAATCACGCATCGGTGGTTTTGTCGAGGGCTAGAGCCTTACTCGCAGCAACCTCACTGGTAGATGTACTAGGCTTGTTCCTCTTCGGTTCCTGCTTGGACGAGGGACTGGCTGGAACAGTTGGTGCAGGGAGCGAGAGCATCGTTTTAGCCAGTACCGCTTGGCTTGGGGAATGTTGATCAACCATAAGAGCAGCCCAGAAGCTACCCTTTTCCTATTCTTATCTTCCTCCTCCATAGCAACATCTTTCTCTGAATCATACTCTGAGCTTTCACGATCCTGGTTGTACATGGGATTATTTTGCATGGTCGAGCGACCTCCACCTCTACCAGTGCGGCCTCTGCCACGGCCTCCCCTAGATCCACTGCCTTCTCCCGGTCCATTGCCCGGTCCCCTGAACCAGCTCGCCTTGAGATCCTTGAACACCAACGCCTTCGCAGGGTGAATCCCGTCACCACATTCCTTAAACAGATGCCCCAAATTGCCGCACACAACACATCAATCAGGCAATCTCTCATAGTTTACCCTGAAGATGACTCGCTCTAGGGAGTCCTTCTTTCTGATCACAAGTGAAACAACGTTTTTGAGGGGCTTCGTGACGTCAATTCTCACCCGGACACGCACGAAGTTACCTTCAAAGTCGTGCAATTTAGGTTCAGTAAATATGAATTCGCCCACTGTCGATGAAAGAGCCTTTACTTTGGGGAAGTATCCGTCTGGTAGGACGTGGATCTGGATCCATATGTCAATTTGTTCAGTTCAATCAATGAAGGCTTCGTGAACCCATCATACGGTGCAAGGACCACCGCCTTTCCCTTAAAATTCCACGGTCCTTCTTCCATCACTCTTTCCCAATCACCCAGACAAGAGAATTGCAATGTATAGAGATTACCCTCAAGCGGCCTGATCTGCACCTCTTGCGCCAGATCCCAGGCCACCCTCGTGTTCTCATAGAACCAATATTGGTTGTAGGATTTGTCGGAGTGTACCGTGGCGATCGCCATCCAGCGGGTCACCTCCGCCGGCAGCTCGCCTTACTCCACCACCACATCCTGCAGTTCATCCTCCTTAAGCCCAAGCTCCGCCATCATTGCTTCGAGATCGGATTTGGCTGTTCCCGAACTTGACGCAGAAGAACCCATGATGCCCTAGCCCGAGGTTGTTTAGATCCGCGGGCGGTATGAACCCTAGCGCCGTCGCCAATCCCCCGTCGACTCCGAGGCCCCAAGACACCAAAGATCACCGGAGGGGGTAGAACGGTAGGGGAGAGAAGTCTCTACGGGAGGCCAGCCGCCATCGCCGAGAGTAGGAAAAACCCTAACGAGAGGGGAGACGTTTCTTGATTGTTTTCATTCAGCCCAGATGAAAAGAAAAAACAACCCACAACTGACCTAACAGGCCTTCTAGTCTAGTCATATGGGCCGAACACCGTTTCATTCCAAACAATAATTCCGAGCACCGGTCCAGCCCTAAAATAAAGGGGAGCGTCCAGCCCCATTAAAGAAACTGAAAAAAATCGCCGGGGCGCGTGCTCGGTAGGGCAGGGTGGGGGGTCCCCGATTTCAAATGCCTCCCCATTCCACGCCCAAAAGGGGGAGAAGAGACGAGCACCCGCACCCCGTGAGGTTTCCGTTTGTCCACTCCTGCTGCCGCTGCTGCTCGCGCCCGCCGCCACCGCCGCCGCCGCCGACTCGAGGAGGGAGGCCGTGGATGGAGATCGCGCGGTCCGCCGCCGCCGTGGGCTGCTCCAAGGAGCACCAGAGGATCTACGCCGACTGGTTCGCCATCGCCGACCCAGGTGCGTGTTCTCGCAACCTTCGCCGTTCCCACCACCAGCGCCTCCAAATCGAAGGATTGGGAGGGGATGGCCGACGCTTTGCTGATTCTCCGGTGGCCGCGTCCCCGGCTGTCCCTGCAGATGGAGACGGGCGCGTCACGGGCGCCGACGCCACCAAGTTCTTCGCCATGTCCGGCCTCTCCCGCGCCGACCTCAAGCAGGTGAGTGAACCGGCCGCCGATACCCCGAGTTTTGCCGCTGGTGGATGGGAGTCTAACTAGTCCGTTGTCGGCCGATTCAAGGTCTGGGCGATTGCTGACTCCAAGCGTCAGGGGTACCTCGGCTTCGGCGAGTTCGCGGCTGCGATGCAGGTTTGCCCACTTTTGCCCTCACCGTTTAGGCGCGTCTGTGCTGCTGGTAGTAGGAGATGTGAGATGTGACTGTGCGGTGTTGACGGTTTCGTCTGTTGCAATCTGCAGCTCGTTTCTCTCGCTCAAGCGGGCAATGAGATCACCCAGGACAGTCTCAAGCGTGAAGGTTGGTGACACCTTGTTATGATGTGGGCTGTGAACTGCGCCTCATCTGTTTTTATTTCCGCTGAGTTCAGCTGTGTGTGATGTTTGAGCTGGATGGCTTGTGGCTGTGTTTGCAGATCTGAGTAGCTTCGATCCTCCTGTGATGAAAGGTCTTGATGAACTGCTTGCTGTAAGTTTACAAAATGTATAGATTACCCTGTGGCATTCAAGTAAATTTACCGCCTCTCACACTAACATGGTATTTTGTAATGGGTATTTCTTTTTTAGAGATCAATGGCTATTGTGAATGTAGTTCGCCCACAAGAAAATGGTAATCAGTCTGCCCCCTTTTCCCACGGTAAATCATGATAATAAAGTCCTCTATGATGCTAATCATTTCTGTTCTGTTCAGGCACCCCTCAGGTGCAAGCACCTTCTACAAACAGCTGGTTCAGTTCCAAATCAGCAAAGAAGGTACTCTACTTATGTGCAATCTTTCCATTTTCAGTAACTTTGTCATTGCAGCACATATTATTTTTCTCTCTTTGTTGTTAACTAAACCACTGTAACTTATTGAATCATCGAAGCTGTCTTTGCCAATTAGAGCATGTATTCACAGCAGTCTCTTTCTTTGGTGCTTTGTAGATTCAAACGCCTCTGACTGCTGTTACTTCTGTAATTGATGGCTTGAAAAGACTCTACATCGAAAAACTGAAGCCTTTAGAAGTTGCATACCGGTTCAATGATTTTGCCTCCCCATTGCTGGTATAGACTTCTGTTTAAACCATTGTTTTCCTATGATTTACAGATCACAATGTTCTCAACCTCATCTTCTTTCATCCTGATTGTGTTATTGAGTCATTACTTTCATGTCATTGCATTTATTCTTCCATATTTCAGACGAACAGTGACTTCGATGCGAAGCCAATGGTTATGCTCTTGGGTCAATATTCTACAGGGAAAACAACATTCATTAAGCACCTGTTGAAATCAAACTTCCCAGGTTTGGGGCTTTATTTAATACAGAAAACCTGAGTTTCATTTTTAGCCACACCATCTACTTTGGTGGTACGTTTCTCTATAACATCAGACTGCAACTTTAATTGGCCTTTCGAAATGCAGGAGCTCATATCGGACCAGAGCCCACTACTGACAGATTTGTGGTTGTGATGGTAAGTGTTGCATGAATATTTATGTACATGCAGCAAGGATAAGAGATTTTTCAGATGATTACTGCTTGAGCATATTTACTCGGAATGCTTGCTTTTCAGTGTTAACTGAATTGTTTATGTTGATTGGAAAACATCAGCTCTTTCTTTTGTAAGAAACAAAGATGGCATACAGATATGGACCAATGACAGTAGAGTCTGTTCTGCCCAGCTTCATCAATTTTGTAGCATGATGTGAGGATTTAATACTCCCTCCGTCCCATAATATAAGAGCGTTTTTTATACTAGTGTAGTGTCAAAAACGTTCTTATATTATGGGACGGAGGAAGTAGTTGCTTTTGTTTCTATGTCAGCAAAAGCATGAATTGATGAGAGCTGTTAATAAACACATAACTTGGTAATAACCCAGGAGTTTGAGAAGTTTTTTATCACGACGGTGTTGTGCTCGTAGTTTGCTGAAATACAATGGGACACAGAAGACAACTGCTGTTTTGTTTATCCCACTTTTCATTAAAAAATTCCTTTAGTGGCTAGAGTTTTAATACACACGTGTAAAATATTTATGCACTTTCTTTTGAGACAGGATTTGTGGCTGACATTTGACATAAAAATCTTATCAATTTGCATTCCCTATTTGCTTATATTGTTAATGTACTCGTATTTATCCCATTGATCTCTCATATTTTCCCCCCACATCAGTCAGGATCTGATGAAAGGACTGTCCCTGGCAATACAATTGCAGTCCAAGCTGATATGCCTTTCAATGGTCTTACAACATTTGGGGGTGCATTCCTATCAAAGTTTGAATGCTCTCAGATGCCACATCCTGTAAGCATTAATTGAGATACTAATACATGTGAAACAATCATTTCAGACACTGATAGCTGCCTTGTTTTTTGAAGCTACTGGATCATATCACCTTTGTCGACACTCCTGGTGTTCTCTCTGGTGAAAAGCAAAGGACCCAACGTAGTTATGATTTCACTGGTGTAACTTCATGGTTTGCTGCAAAGTGCGATGTTATTCTTCTATTGTTTGATCCTCACAAGCTCGATATCAGTGATGAATTCAAGCGTGTCATTTCTTCTTTACGTGGGAATGAAGACAAAATACGTGTGGTGCTGAACAAGGCAGACCAAGTTGACACTCAGCAGGTATATGTTTTTCTTGCAATCTACTTGTAAGTTCCTGCTATTTTTTCCCTAGGTATAACCCGGCACACATGATTATATGAAACCAAAATTTTCCCTTATGTGTGCTGCAGCTTATGAGAGTGTACGGTGCGCTGATGTGGTCTCTTGGGAAAGTTCTAAACACCCCTGAGGTTATGCGTGTCTACATTGGGTAATAGTCCTCTTCTCTATAATGCTTTAAGTCTTTAGTAATATTACTTCTGGAGACTGAAGGTTGTACCAAAATGTATATTCTTGAAGACCAAAATGCAGTGTGAAACTGTGAATCCAGCACCAGGTGTAGGACTGACTGTGTGTTCATATTTTTGCATCGTAACCTGAAACTCACGTCGAAGTTAATATTTGCAGGTCGTTTAATGACAAACCTGTGAATGAATCAGCTGTTGGGCCAATTGGAAAGGAATTGTTTGAGAAAGAGCAAGAGGATCTCCTTGCTGACCTGAAAGACATACCTAAGAAGGCTTGTGATCGCCGGGTAAGTAATGTGTCATGTGTATGCAATTCTTATATGGACTGCAGAATTTCAATTTGACTGGCCCACCATTTCCATGCGTAGGTCAATGAGTTTGTGAAGCGTGCTAGAGCTGCGAAGATCCATGCTTACATAATTGGCCAGCTGAAGAAGGAAATGCCTGCAATGATGGGGAAAGCCAAGGCTCAACAGCGACTCATTGACAACTTACAAGATGAGTTTGCAAAGGTACTTTCATACAAAACAGCGTCCCAAGATGAAACCAAATGAATTTCAGTTACGCCTGCATCTTGATTCATAAATTGCCTCCTTTCTGCACAATGTGCTTGCTCCATTGACGCCTGAGATGTATTGGAAACAGGTCCAGAGGGAGTACCACCTTCCGGCGGGCGACTTCCCTGACTTGGAGCACTTCAAGCAGGTGCTGGCCGGGTACAGCATCGACAAGTTCGAGAAGATGAAGCCCAAGATGGTGCAGGCCGTGGACGACATGCTCGCGCACGACATCCCGGACCTCCTCAAGAACTTCAGCAACCCTTACCAGTGAACTTGCTGCTGACCTCTCGTCAGTCGCAACTTATTCCTCAAGTGTTGTTCGTCTGCCATGACTCATGATGGAAGTAGGCAAGCATGAGAGACCCATCGCATGTGCAAGGTTATGCCTGCCCTTTGTGCGGGAAAAGCGATAAACGTGTAACACAACGTTCAGAGACGCGTTGGCTCTTTCCTTTTGTCTTCAGTGCTGTACTGCCGTAGCCTATGCACCTTTGACAACTGTTCGGAATAGATACTTGGTGGGAGAATTCAAGATGAATGGGCACTATAGTAGGACTTGTGTTTTTTCGGGCAATTTTGGCAGAAACATACATGGATTCAAAATTGCAGAAATGAAGTTTAGAAGGAAGAAACATTTCCTGAAGAATTCCATGTGTGGCAGCAGAGCAGACGCAACCCGCCTGCTTACCATGTGTCGCTGTGTCGGCTCCCAGCAATCTCATCCACGAATCGTGCGCTTAAAATCCCGTCCCGTAGATATATAAATAAAATAAACGGCGCAACCAAGATCGACCGCACGGCACGCACCGGCAGGGCAGGCGGCAGCGTCGGCGAATATGCCCCGCTAGTGGCCGACGGCGCTACTGCCGACCGTGGCCACCACCGCGATTCCGCACCCATCCGTCCATCACAGAAAGGGGCAAAAAAATCCGTCCACCAGACAGACAGACGGTCAGTCTACCAGCGGCCGGGAGAGGGGGTACGCGTCGCGCTGACGCCGGGCGGGAACGCGGTGCGGGGAGGGGGAGGTGACGACCCGACCCCAACCCCAACCTCACCCGACCCGAGGAGGACGGGGACGTGGACGCGGTCGATTGGAATTGGAATGGAATAATAATCATAAACAAACCGACGCGACGCCCGGTCGTGGGCGGGCCCGCCGCGTCAGCCGGCCAGCCCGCTGCCGAGTGCCGACCAAACACACAAACAAGGCGCGCACGGTGGAGTCGCCGAGGGAAGGAGGCCGAGCGAGCGCGAGACGAGAGAGACCACACCAGACGAGGCGAGCGAGACCACACCAGGCTCCGCCGAGGGAGGGGAGGCGAGGCGAGGCGGCGCGATGCGGCGCGCGAGGCCGCCGCCGGGGCCGGGGCTGGAGGGCGAGGAGGTGCGGTACCGCGGGGTGCGGCGGCGCCCGTCGGGCCGGTACGCGGCCGAGATCCGCGACCCGGCCAAGAAGACCCCGATCTGGCTCGGCACCTTCGACTCCGCCGAGGCCGCCGCGCGCGCCTACGACGCCGCCGCCCGGAACCTCCGCGGCGCCGCCGCGCGCACCAACTTCCCCGCCTCCCCCGCCGCGGCGCCGCCGCGCGCGCCGCCCCCCGCCCCCGTCGCCGCGCCGGCGACGATGGCCGCGGCGGCCACGTCCAGCCACAGCAGCACGATCGAGTCCTGGAGCGGCGGGAACGTCCCGCCCACCAGCGTCCTCTTCCGCGCCGCCGCGATCGGCGCCCCGGCCATCGAGGAGGACTGCCGCAGCTACTGCGGCTCCTCCTCGTCCGCGGTGTGCGAGGACGGCGCGTCGGGGGGCGCCGCCGCGGCCGCAGACGAGGCCGCCGCGCCGCCGCGCCCCTCCTCGTCCTCGCTGCCCTTCGATCTGAACCTGCCGGACCCCGCGGCCGCCGCCGACGAGATGGACTGGCGCTGCGACACGCTGCTCCGCCTCTGATCGGCCTCCCGCCTGCTGCTTCGGATGCGTCACCTCCCTCCCCCTTCCCGCTCCCGGACTAACGCGGCGGCGCGGCTGCCTACTGCGAAGTGCTTCTTCTACTATCTCGATAGAATTGGATTTTTGGTCTCCGTTTTACTACCACTCAAGTTCTGAATATCTGATACTCTGCCTTATGTGATAATGTGAATAAGCTCATCATCATCATATCATCATGTAATCCACGGGAAATAGACTGATAATTTTTGCCATCTTTCTGTCTTCTTACTTGTGTATCATCCACGAGTTGCTGCCTCTGCTATTTTGCTATAGTATCGATTAATTAGATGCCTAATGGAAGAAAGCAATAGGAAATTTACATGAACTTGTGTGAACTGGGTCATTTGCTTTCCGAGATTGTTGGCTGCTTGACGATCGAGAGGTTTAGCACCTGAAACAGTGTATGATTTTGCTGTTCTGTATCTGTGCATTATGCAGCATGGCCGGAAAGCTTTTGGCCTGTGGCCTTCCTGCCGACACGATAAGCCATCGATGTGCACCACAAGATTTTCAAGGAGTTTGGATCATAGCGCTACTCTGATGCGTGTATGCTCTTGAGCAAATCATCACACTAGAAGAAGAACCCAAAATCGAGCAGCAGATGCAGGGCTCGGCTCTGGATCTCTGTGTGTGGTTTCCCATTCTGTTGTTGCTCCTGTCTCTCGAGGTCCATATTTATCCATGGTGCTAATCTCTGCTAAGTGTTGAGGTCAGATGTACTCTACTACTGTTCTTTGGGCAAGGATTAGCAGAAGAGCAGGATGTCGTCAAAGTGGTGCCACACGGTAGAAATGGCTCTGATGATCTTCATTTCTGAGTTCCAGACCTGTCGAACATAGGTGGGCGCCCGGTTTGGAGAGAAAAATTAACGGCGATCGTAGCCCTAATTAAGGCGATCTCCCAAGTTCCAGACCTGTCGAACAGAAGTACAACTACAACGTCCCTACTTGTTCGTTCACATTTGTTTTGAGGGTTTGCTTGTTTAGACAAAATAAAAATGTTCAAGCTTAGAAAGTAGAGCTCCTATCCTGTAGTATAAGGCGTGGGATAGCGAGTAAGCGCGGATGCGGCGCTGTGCTGGGCTAGCCAAAATCCCAGGTACCGCTCACCGTGGACCAAAGATTGCCCGGGGCCATTTTTATTTCAGTCTATTGGAATTTTTTATTTCAGATAAAAAATTGTTATATTCGGTTTAGATAAATGAAATAAAATACTAAAATATAGTTTTATCATTAAATTTTAAAATAATTTGTAAAGTTTCAAAATATTCAAAAATTTAAAGGTGGTCAAATTTTTACTAATGTTCGACTTCAATAAAATATTTTCTTGTTTAAAAAATCTTTATATTCTCAAAATTCATGAACCTTTAAATTATGGCGTAGATTTTAAAAATAACATATTTCTGATAATGTTGTGCATTTAAAGAATGTTGATAATTTTTTTAAAAGCTTTCATTAATAAAAATATATTAAAAAATCACAAAATCACAGAATATTGACGGATACTTAAAAAGTTGAATAATTTAAAAAAATCTTCTTGTGCTTAAAAAGTTCAACAATTTTAAAGAAATGTTTTCAAATTTATAAGTTTTGACTTTTCAAACGAAAGTGCAGGAAAATAAAAAATAGTAAAATCCAAAATGGGGAGGAAAAAGAAAGAAGAAAAAAGAGGCAACAAAAAAAGGGAAACGCGAACACCAAAAAACACGAATGTAAACACCGAAAAACCTGAAAAAGCAAACAGAGAAACTGGGCCGACCCACTATAGAGTGTGGGACTTTGAAATATTGCAGGGGCATTTTTTATTGAGCAACTATTGCAGAGGATATACGTCGCCAGTACTGATTTTTATTATAGCTCGCCTGCAGCCGACTATTTTGGGCCAGCGCAATAATTTAGCGCCCACAAGGTTTGTCCCTGTGGTTTTCAAATAGGTGTTTTCACTGATATTGCATTGGCTTTTTTCTTAGGTTTTCTCTTTATTTTATATTTTTGCACACTCATATCCTGTAAAAATGTTCAAGCTTAGAATGTAGAGCTCCTATCCTGTAACATAAGGCGCGGTATAGCGAGTAAACGCGGATGCGGTGCTGTGCTGGGCTGGCCAAAATCCCAGGATCGGTCACCGTGGAGTAAAAATGGTCCGGACCCATTTTTATTCGAGAATCTATTGTAATTTTTTATTTTAGATGCAAAAATGTTATATTCGGTTTATATAAATGAAATAAAATATGAAAAAGTAGATTTTTATAATTAAATTTATTTTTTAAGAAATTTTAAAAATATTCAACAAATTTGAAAGGCGGTCAATTTTTTATAAATGTTTGATTTAAATGTATATATTCTTGTTTTAAAAGTAGTATATTCTAAAAATTCATTAACTTATAAATTATGGTGTAGAATTTCAGAAAACATATCTTTTAAAAGGGAAATCTAAGTGGCACACCACATCTTCTTGGTGGAAGTACCGAACCCATGCAACTCCGTCCGATCCGCATCTGGCGGCTGTGGTTATCCGCACCTAATGCTCCCATCTGTCCACAGCAGAGGATAAAAATGATGAAAAATAGCATAGTGGGTGTCGAACACCGGTAGCTAGGAAGCGAGCTCAACCCTGCAACTAACTCACCGGCGTTTGGGCTTTTGTTGGAGTTAGGAAACCAAACTATTGATCTCTTAGCCATATTAGTACACAGGAATGTCACCGTGCGTTTGATCGTTTTTGTTGGTAAAAGTTTCGGCCAATCTGGTAATTGTTTTACAACAGCCATCTACCATTTTGGAACGATGCTTCGGTGCCTTAAGGCACCTATCTTTGTGTCTATGACATGTGGGCCCAACAGGTGGCTGGCCCACATGTCAGTGACCCAAAGGTAGGTGCCTTTAAGGCACCAAAGCTGCGTCCACCATTTTGGGCTCAAGTTTCTACCGACGTCTTTTTATGCACGTGGGAAGGCTAGATGAGGGCCCTTGCTTCAGCCAAACAACCATACTATAAACAAACAACTACCCTGCAAAAAGAAACTAAACAAACAATAAGGGTTTCTTGTGCCGCCGTTGTTGCCATGTGAGAAATTTAGGTCCCCTCGCCTCCGGCTGCCATCTTGGTGCTGAGAGGTGGGGGGACCTCGTATCTTCAAGATCTCCATGTTCTTCGTCATCATCTAGTGATTATCATAGTTTTGTGAGAATAAATTTTCACTCGTTGATCTGATTTGCTTATGTTGTTGTGTCAAGCCTTTTTGTTGGTTTGATTCTTTGTGAAATTAAAATCTTTCATCGACA